TTAGAACTTTGAGGGGAAGCCCAGAAGGGAAAGTCCAAAGAGGACAATATCTGCTAGCAGTGGACTTGGACTGTTACAAATGATATCAGAGTCAAGCACTGAGCGGTGTGTCAGCGAGGATGCTAGGCCCCCAAGGGGGTGGATTGTGAGAGCCCACATCAGTTGGAGAGGAGAATGAAGTATTCCTCATAAGGGTGTAGAAACTTCTCCCTAGTAGACGGGTTTTAAAACCTTGAGGGGAAGCCTAGAAGGGAAAGTCCAAAGAGGACAATATCTGCTAGCGGTGGTGGACTTGGGCTGTTATAGGTATATTATTACATTTTTACTCTGCGAATGAAGAAAAGTAATAGGAAATAAGCTTAAAAAGGGATGCATGGTGTACTGGAATTATGAGTTTGGTTTATTTTATCAGTTTGTAATTCTAATTCAACACTTAGCCTCAAATGTAATTTCTTTTCTTGTACATTTCCAATTCATGAACTCTTGGCTAAGCGCACTTTATTGGTGGATCAGAATTTCCTTTTCACTTCAAAGGGCGAAGATTCATTGTTGAAGGCTATCGATTTCGGATTATCAGATTTTGTGAAGCCAGGTTTTCCTTAGTTTAGTTTCAGTATGATTAACTCCAAAACTTGAATATTAGTTTATGTTCTTTAATTTCTTTGGCAGATGAAAGGCTTAATGATATTGTTGGTAGTGCTTACTATGTAGCTCCTGAAGTCCTCCATAGATCATACAGTACAGAGGCAGATGTCTGGAGTATAGGTGTAATTGCATATATTCTTCTATGTGGTAGTCGTCCATTTTGGGCTCGAACGGAGTCTGGCATCTTTAAAGCCGTTCTAAAAGCTGATCCCATCTTTGACGAGTCGCCATGGCCTTCTCTGTCTTCTGAGGCAAGAGATTTTGTTAAACGACTATTAGTTAAAGATCCACGAAAAAGGATGTCTGCTGCTCAAGCTCTGAGTACGTGCATTATACAAAGAAACTTGGTTTTTCGTCTTGTTGAATATTAAGTTCCGCTTAGATTACGTGTACTGTTTACGCGCTACTAAGCTGACACACGAGATCTTAGACGGATTTCGTCCCCTTTCTTTCATAATTTCCCCTCTTATTCATCTTTTTAACACAGGTCATCCATGGATTAAAAATTCTCTTGATGTAAAAGCTCCTCTTGATATACTAATATTTAAACTCATGAAGATTTACATGCGGTCATCATCTCTTCGAAAAGCTGCTTTAAAGGTTTGTTTCTGGCACTTGTATGATTTCCTGCATACTCATCTGCTGTTTTCCCATTATTTTGTTTACTAAAGATTTTTTGTTATAGGCTGTGTCGAGAACGTTGTCTTTAGACGAGCTATTCTATTTGAAGACGCAGTTTTCACTCTTGGAACCGAGCAAAAATGGCACCATAAGCATAGAAAACATCAAAGAGGTTTATATCCTTCTTTTCTCTTTGGTTTTCTTCAAAATGGTTTCATGTTGGTTATGTTGATTTCTCTTTTACTTATGGTTAGGCTTTGACGAAAAACATATCGAATACTATAAAGGAATCGAGGATACCGGATCTATTGAGTTCGGTATTGTTCTCAACTAGTTTCTTGATTCGATTTCCTTTAACCTCGCATTGCTCATGGTTTTCTTTGCTTTTGTGTGACAGCTTAATGCATTGCAATATAGGAGAATGGATTTTGAAGAGTTTTGTGCAGCTACACTAAGTGTCCATCAACTCGAGGCTCTCGATAGGTGGGAGCAACATGCGCGATGTGCTTACGATCTGTTTGAGAAGGATGGAAACAGAGCCATTGTTATAGAGGAACTGGCATCGGTATGTTTGATATGCTTGTGTGATGAAACGTCTGTGCATCAGTTTCCTTATTTTGCAAATCATACTCAAGTAGTTTATAAATGGTTTCAAACACGTGGTTCTAAAATTCTCGACGTGATTCCGTTCTATTGAGATTTACGTAGAATTCGTACACAACCTTTGTAAGCCAAAACTACACATGCAAATCTATGGTATTGTAAACTCTGATATATGGTATTGTGGCCATTCCAGGAACTTGGCCTCAGCCCTTCTGTGCCTGTTCATGCCGTTCTTCACGATTGGATTCGACATACCGATGGAAAATTGAGCTTCCTCGGGTTTGTCAAACTGTTACACGGACCTTCTAGTCGAACTCTGATGAAACCATTATAAGGCTTATAACTCAAATGTTAAACATTCATCAAAAGTATTGGCTGCTCCATCCGGATTCCATCAGCTATGTAGCTCTGAGATCTTTGTCGAGAAATACTTCGATTTCGATATGGCCGGAGCTTGTGGATACTCACAACAAGGATGACGATCCAACCTCATTGGTAGGTGAAGTGAAAATGTAGGAGTTGGAGTTGGAGTTTTCCTCACTGTATTTGTATAGGTTTGAATCAAAAGTGTGTGATCAATTGCAAGTGAAGATAATCCTCCAGCGTTCTCAAGAGGATGGCACTTGCATATCCAGACATGTAATTCTGGGTTGTAATTGTGAGGTTTTCTTCTTCCTTTCCTTTCCACTCAATAGTGTCTTGATTGCCAATGCTTTTGTGAGATCTCATATCGGTTGGAGAGGGAAACAGAGCGTTTCTTATACAGGTGTGGAAATCTTTCCCTAACAAACTTGTTTTAGTGATAGGTAACGGGTCAAAGTAGACAATATCTACTACCGGTGGGTTTGGGCTGTTACAGCTATCCTTCACTCTATTCCTATGTAGTTGTAGTTACGTTCATTTTAGTCTTACCACAAAGTTCCAAACGCTATAAATTCTACTTTTATCAGAAAATGCGAGGACCGATGGTGTATTTTAATGTTCGTTCTTGCATCCATTTCTTTTTCGTCGTGTTCCTACATTAATTTATGTACCTAGTTTCGCCGATTTCGTTTTTCATTCTTTCTCCATTGTCGGAGAGTGTTTGCTTTTGCCCATTGCACTTATAGGATCAAGTGTTGTGTTTTGAGGATAGGGTGCAGATTGAGTGGAAACAAGAAGTAGAGGCCATTCAAGTCAAATCAAACTAATGTGATGTTGTCAAGACTGTAGAGATGCTATGTCATCCCATGCTGACTGCAAATCCTGTGGTTATATCCGAGGGTCAAGTTGTTATAGATCAAAACTGATATATTCTCAACTAAATTCGTGAAATCAAGCTTTCGGTTCGATACCTAATGAGTTCATAAACTGAAGACACTAATGACCTCTTTTGAAGTGGTAAAAATTTATTATTCGATGAATTCAACATATAGAATTTAGGGTTTAGGGTCTAAAAATTGATTGTTCGGTTGATTTAGTTTGCATTACTTTAAGATTTAGGGTTTAGGGTTTAGTAATCTCTTAGAAATTAGATGCCTACACTAATTAAGCTATGTTTTTTTCTAGTCGGAAAAAAATATATATATGGTAATTTTACATTTAGCTACGTAATTAAGTGAATATTCTTTTAATTATTTGGCATTGCTATTAAATTAATCAACTCAAAAGTTAATTAACTATATATTTTTAAAACCTACCAGTAATTCAGTAAGTTTTCAAAAAAAAAAAAAAAAAATGGAGATCCAATCAGCAAAAATGATTTTTGCTTCGAAGGCATGCTTCATCCCTAGCACATGGACTTTAGGCAAGTAATACTGATAGGAATCGGTAGAATGAGTTAGCATGTGAGCCTGGCTTACCTTAGATGATTAGAATATGTATGATTAGGACTCAGAATGAACGATTTGGATGAGAGCGACATGGATGTTATGAAAATTATAAAATTACTCATAGAACGAGAAATCGAGATACATGCCTATTTTAATGTCTTCTATTATATTAGAATAGAGGATGACATATTGTGATATGTGTTCCAAACTATCTCACTAATCAAACATGTATGAATGAATGAGTATGTTCTCTTATGTCATAGGTGATCGATAGGAATATCTCCCTAGTAAAGCATGCATGAGCGAACCAAACTAAAATTAGGGTGGCAGAGCTAGAGTAGATTATACGTTAACCTAGGTTAATACATTCACAATAGACCTAGCACCTTAGGATCGTGAGCGGCGATCAGAGTTCTAGACATGAGCGCACCCTGCACTCAGGAATTGGTTGGGAACATGAGATGTAGTCTAAACCAACTAGACGCACTAAGAACCTAGTAAATCTCCCTAACATCTGAGTAAGACTAAGGAATCTTTATAGTATCCTGACGCCACTCGAGTGACTATTGAGTGTAGAAACGCGCGAACACGTAAATCAGTCTTGGAAGGGACTTGAGACTACTTTGGTAGCTAACTCAAAACGAGGACTTCTATTGAGTGCAGAAATGGGCGAACTCATAAACCAGTCCTAGTTGGATTTGGGACATACACAAGTACACGTTAAGATAAGAACCCCTATTGAGTGTAGAAACAGGTCAAGGCTAATGCCACTACTCCGTACACCAGTATTAGAAGAGATTAGGGACTACACAGATAGGTGGTTTAGGGCGAACACTTCTATTGAGTGTATGAACGGGTCAAAGCTGACGTTGCGATGCCGTTAACCAGTCTCGAAAGGGGAATAGGGACTACACAGGCAGATGGCACATGATGAACCATTAGAGACTTCGAGACCTGCATAAAGGTTTAGATTATTGTAAGGGATATGCTCGAACTTCTTAGAGTCTAGAGAAAAGCCAAGCAAACTTACTAGGAAATAGATGCGATGAAAGTCTGAGTATTTTTATACTCATCTCTTTCCCCTCCTTTTCCTTTTTCAAGCACCGGTTGAGGTGGGAAAGTACTTGGGAGCTATGCTCATGACGTCAATTAACTTTTTTTTATTTATTTATTTATTTTTTTGCAATGATAATTTTCATACTTTTAATTGTTTGTTTTATTTTACTTCTTCGATTTCATCTTTTCGTCATGGTCAAATAAAAGGTCAGGTCAAGTCGTGACAACTCATTCATCTATTAAAAACATAATATGAATTTAATATATGAGATATCTAGTTAAATTCATTTAAAACCTTATTTTATCACAAGATATCGTGAAAGTAAAGGCTAATTACATTTACAAATGAACCTAAATGCCTGTTTTGACTTTTCCTGCTACTTTGAAGTCAATTTTGGTTACATTATTTGAATAGTTATTCACTGATTCCTTTTCAAACTTAAAAGAGCAATTTGTAACGCAAGTTCAAAGGCCATTTGTGAGCTCAAGAGCAGACCACTATATTTTTCGATGTCCATTCTGTCTTCCTACGCTGGGTGCCTACGAACAGCATTGTTCTTGTCCCTTGAACGCATACTCTTGCGACTCCCGTTACTGTTCGAGGCTTGTCTTGGAAGTTGAACATGTCCTTGATTCTTTCCACTTCCTGGACATTACAATACAAAAATATGGTAACATTCAATCTTTTATTCAATTGCGGCAAGCAAGCTCCTATTCATGTTTCGGGGAGTAGTGGTTGTGAATTATACCTCCCATTTGTACAAGTTTTCTTTTCCTTTTCTGCAATGCTCGTACACCCCGAGCAGCCGCACCTCTTTTGTGCTTCTCTGCTAGAACCTGAACTCTTTCAGCTTCATCATTCCAAAGCTGAGTAAAACATACAAATAATGAAGAAAACTCAGCAATATTGGTCGTTGGCTTGCATTTATGATCAGAAACAAGATCTGACATACAAACTTCAGCTCTTTTATACAAATTTGGAAAGGACGAATATCTTGGAGCCAAACGCCACTCATGAACACCGCTGTGCTAGGTCTACTGAGAACGTACTGACCTATGTCAACATATAATCTGCTCTAGCTCCACCACCCTAATCTTAGTTTGGTTCGCTCATACATGCTTTGCTAAGGAGATATTCCTATCGATCACCTATGACATAGGAAACCATACTCTATTCATTCATACATTTTTTATTAGAGAGATATCCCTATCAATCACCTAATGTACAAAATTCAATCAAACAAGCTCAACAAGAAGAATGACATCCATCAGTCGCCTGGAGCACATATCATAATATGTGCAGGTGACGATACACACTTTAGAAGTCATATTTCGTAGAACTTTAGCTCTTTTATACAAATTTGGAAAGGATGGATATCTTGGAGCCAAACTCACTCACTTGGTTCATGCTTGAGAATTTAAGCACAATGAGCATTGTTCTGTTACTAAATTCCCATCTACATACGTACACTTCCACCAGCAATGGTTCAACTAAAAAAATCAATTTGATTTAAAATTTTCATCCACAGTTCAAATCCCCACAACCCAAATGCTTTGTATGAAAATAAAATATATTTATGTACGTAGAGAACTTACCCGTCTGAATGTTCTTAGTTTATAGAGATTTCGACCCTTAACAAGTAGAGGATAAAGTGGGGGTAACTTCCGAACTCCCCTGCTCCATAGAACTTCAACCTAGCACGTTATAGTCACAAGCGTTGGAAATATGAATCGAAAATGAAAAAATATTTATGAATCGCAAATGAATATTAGATGTAAACATATTGAGCATATTACAAAGTATGATACTAATAATGCACAACCAATTTGAATTACGATATGAGAAAATGATTGCTAGAACAGAAAAAACCGCCTTACAGTAAAAGTATGCTGCTGTTTACTTGCACCATAGCTTTCCTTCACTACCCTCCCTGCCACAGTTCTCTTCCCTATAAGCCCTCCACGCCTAGTTACTTTATCAAACCTGTTAAAAATTAAGCTACAAGAATTAGGAGTGCAAATCTAAAATATCTAACACAAGACTAGTGGTGGAAGAGAAACTTGTTTGAGTACTTTGCATAAACTTTCTGAGTGAACAAAACAGTATCTCCCCTACAAACATCACCTGCATTGATGTTTTAATAGAATAATTACAGCCACTAAAAGAGTGATCAAAGAAAATACTATGACTAATGTATATAGAAATTACCAGTACAATTGACAACAAAGGATGACCTTGGATAGTGCGCTTCACCATTTCCATCCTTCATCCTGAGTTGGGAGAAAAAGAAGAGAGAGCAAAGAAGTTTTGTTAGGAGTAGTTTTGTTAGGAGTAGTTGTGTAATAGTCACCACTAACAGATATTGTCCGCTTTGGCCCGTTACATATCGCTGTTAGTTTCATGGTTTGAAACGCGTCTACTAGGGAGACGTTTCACACCCTTATAAGGAATGCTTCGTTCCCCTCTCCGAACAATGTAGGATCTCACAATCCACCCCCCTTGGGGGCCCAGCGTCCTCACTAGCACACTGCTCGGTGCCTAGCTTTGATACCATTTGTAACAACCACCACTAGCAGATATTGTCTATTTTGGCCCGTCATATATTGACGTCAGCTTCACGGTTTTAAAACGCATTTACTAGGGAGAGGTTTCCACACCCTTATAAAAAATGTTTCATTCCCCGCTCCAACCGATGTGGGATCTCACAAGTTGTGCCAAATACCTATTGTATATTTAACTCGTGAAGAATTGAATAACTGGCATATTATTCTTTCAGAATCTCCTCCCTTTTTGCTCAATAACTTCTATATAATGTTGCAACTTTGCAGAGACCCAAAGTGATTACAACAGAAAGGAAGACGTAGAATACAGTTCAGTTAATCAAGATTTATCAGCAACAAATGGAAAACAGTACCAAACCCAAATTATGTTTTGCTGCCTTATGGTTTGATATGTATCAATGCAGAACTAGAAGTTAAAGGCTCCAAAATCCATTGAGGAACAAGGAAAACTCAATTTCACAACATAAAAGTCTATAGAATCATAATTGATAACAATCCACATTTACCGAAACACTCAATAGTCGCTTCTCTAAATATCAGAAGACTTCCATAGATGAGTACATAGCAGATTTCCATCATGAAAAAGTACTAACAATTTCAAATATTCAGCGATCGGACTAGATGACGAAACTTCATAAATTTCCTAATTGAACGCAATATTAAGATGTGTATCTTGAGTTTAAGGATGAAGGATCCACGTACCTCCAATGTTCCAGGACTCTTTGAATACAGACGGCTTTAGTCCCCGCTATTCTTAGCCTATTCTCCCGTAAATAAGCTTTGCAATCATGAAGTGTTAACGAATCTAAATTTTTATTCTCTGCGACAGAACATGTTTCAAATCAGATAATTAAGAGATCCAATACCCTATGAATTTCCCAACAACCTATCTAATCATCGATTTCATTTCTCTCAATCGACACTTCGACTTTGAACTCGAATCTCAACACAATGGCGAATTATCAATGGAAAAAGACGAAGCGGTCTAAAAATACCTTTAAGAAAGCGGATGACTCGCTGGGAGAGAAGTTCATCACAATCGTTGTCGCTGCATTCATTATCAAACTCCTCTTCCCATTCCCCTTCCTCATCGTCTGATTCCTCTTCGTCCTCCTCCGACGACGAGGAGAGATAAATAACTCTTCGTTTGCTACCCCTTTCAGGCATTTCCTTGCGGAGGAAACATAATTGGAACTCTTTGTAATGATTTAATATTGTAAGTTCTCAGGGCCCAAAAAGCCTCCTACTAATAAAATCAGTATTCATCGCTTATAAATTTACGATGATTCTTTAAATTAGTAGATGTGGAACTTTCATCATCCTTAAGTGATCATTCTTTAAATTATATTTTTAGCTCCCTGTCTTGTCTTGTTCTTAAAATGGTTGGCTTATTAAATCGGTTACAAAAATCATTTCATCCATGAAAATCAAAGGACAAATCTTCATAGGTACTAGTTCATCATTCATTCACGATCAAAGTTTTATCGCATATAAACCTCCTATAAAATATTATTCTTATCAATTTACAGAGATTAAATATTTTTGTTGTTTAATCTTATATAAATTCATCCTACTATTTTTAAAATGTCGTGCGATCCAATAATATTTATTAAAAGAATTATAGTCTCGACCATGTCCCAAAAAAATGTAAATTACGCATCACAAGTCTCGTAATAAATACGCATGTGCCCTAAAACAATTATTTTGAAAATTATTTTTATATATTTCAATAGAATCAAATAAATAACTAATATATATATATATATATATATATATATATATATATATATATAAAAAAGATATTATTTAGTCATAAGATCAAATATGTTTAATTAATCCACAAAATTTTAAACATACCAACTTTCAAAGTTTTATTTTTTAATTTTGCATATATTAAATTTGTGCATATTAATCAATTAATTTTATATTAAAAGTAAGTGATTAATTAATTTACAAACTTTCAATTTTTATCTAATAGATTCGTAATTTTTTTTATAAAATATATTGAATACGTCAAATTAAGAAATGTATTTATATATAAAATTAATATATAATTTTAGGTTGGTTTGTTTTTAATTTTGTTATTTTTAAGAATTAAAATTAATTTATTATTATTTTCCATTTCATAAAAATAAATTTGAATTTAAAAATAGAAAAGGATTGTGTGTGGCCGACAGTACCGCACGATCATAAAAACAATTTACCACCAATTAAAAACAGCACCGTCCACCGACACTCCCGCGTAATCCCAGCATTAATCCATAATCAGTATCATTAAACTATAATTAAGTAATAATAATGACAAATAAAACAATTATAATAATAATAAAACAATCCTTAATTTATATAATCTGGTTCAGATAGATACCTGGCCACACACATCATAATAATAATAATAATAATAATAATAATAATAATAATAATATTAATACCTCAATCAACGCAACGACGCCGTTTTCCCGATCCTAGATTGCGGAACAATCAAAAGGGAATATAAAATAAAAGAAGGAATAAAGCCCCAAACTACATGTCGTCTGTCGTGGAAGTAATTAAAACGACAAATACAGATCAGATTCGACAATCCGTCACTCCCAGAGCCACACATTGTAATTAGGGAAAGGGAATACGACGGCGTTTCACTCAGATCGGAAAATGAAATGAGATAGAGATAGAGATAGAGAGAGATCAGCGGCGGCAGCGGGTGATGGCGGAGCATCCACGGCTGTAGGGATTGACAGGGCCGCGGGCCTTGTAGCAGTTGTGAGTGTAGTAAGGGCGGCCGGAACGAGGCGGGCAAGGGATCCGGTTGGCGGCGAGAGCGCCGTAGGAGATGTAGTAGTGGACTCGGCTCCAGAAGAGAGATCTGCGCGGGTCTTGGTGAAGGTCGTCGTGGTCGTGGTCGTGGTCGTGGTCGTGGTCGTGGTCGAGGTCGGGAATGGAGATTGTGGTGGGCCATTCGAGGGCGTCGGCCATGAGCTTGAGAGAGGTGTCGACGGGGAGATGGGCGGAAGCGGCGGAGAGGAGGAGGAGGAGGATGGTGAAGAAGGGGAAGAGGAGCTTGGAAGCCATGGGAATGGAGATGGAGAGATTGAGAGAGAAGGAAATGCGGTTTTAGAGAGAGAGAGAGAGAGTGATCACATGAGGAAGATGAAGGAGTGAAGGGAGTGTCTGTGATTGGAGTACAGCTGTTGCTAATCAATGCTCTCATCTACGCGTCTCTCGAGATTTCTTTTTTCTTTTTTTTTTTTAAAAAATAAATATTATAATTTTTTTAACTACAAACTAATTCCAATTTTTTCTCATTATTTTATTTTTATATACTTTTATTTTTCACTCATAATCTGAAACTATGGGTTAAAATAATAAATTTTAGCTTATATTATAATATTAAATTTTAATTTCTAATATTACTTTATATTTTTATTTACGAGCATTATATTACTTTTTTGTGTACATTCTTTTTACGGTGGTAAAATAGAAATTATGAATTAGACATGGAAAAATATTTAATGCAAGGAACCCGATCCTTACATTCCGTGGGTTCCTCATTATCATCTATCAACACACACGCGCACACACGAACTAGTGAGAATTGAATCATGTGAAGTGTATTTTGACAGTATAGAGGTCACCGCTAACAGATATTGTCAACTTTGACATATTACGTATTACCATCAGTCTCACAATTTTAAAATTCTTCTACACGAAAAAGTTCTCAACACCTTTACCACAAATATTTGTTTTCTTCCTTTTTTATGTATTTGATTAATAATTATGTGATAATTTATTAATAGGAATTTGGGAGAATAATAATTAATGGAAACAGTTTTAATTAGTTAAGTAATAAACGGGTGGAATTATTTGTTTATTTAAAATATATTTGGAGGCGATTGGACAATAATGCATTTTTTAGGTGGCATTATTTGTTGGAATTTAAAGCCCGAAGGTATGATTTTGCCTACCACCAGGACCATGCCACTCTCAGTACCGGTTACCAGGTGCTTCGTGACACAATCGTACTTTCGAAGGCAGCGGATTAGCGATTGTGCGGCACTCACTTTCCAGCGACAAGTGAGTTAAGCCAATTTGTTCCTGCGTCGCCTATGGCCAAGCGACGTACGGTCGAGCCTCTAGCCTCGGTTTTAAAAGAATGTTTTAGAAAATGAGAAGAGAGAGAGATTTTAGAAAGAGACGTTATATAAGCAAGCAAGAGAAAGATAACAACGGCTTAGCACATATAACCTTAGGTAGGGAGAAGTTGACGACTAGTCATATTCCTCTATAATACATTCTGGGCCATTTTAGTTCTGGCAGGCGTAGACATGATATTTTTGAGGTGTCATACTGTCTATAATTACAAAAAGAAAAACACTAGAATGAAAAGACATGACAAGGGTTTGGCTTGTCATGGGTATGCTGCCATGGGCAACATGCCTTGGACAAGCATGACCGTGACACTCAGCTTCATTTTTTTTTTAATATTTAAATATTTAAATATATTAAAAATTAAAATCATAATTTTATAATGCTAAATTTTTATTCCATTAAAAAAAATTATAATATTTTAATTAATTAAAATAATATTATCGGCGTATCTTTATAATAATGGTATGATATCGTTAATTTTAGAAGAAAAAAAAGCTGTAAAAGAAAGAAAAAAAGACGAATAAGAATAAGATTGAGTAGAAGAATTGGAGAATAAAGAATAAGAATAAGATTGATACGGGAGACAATAAAACTCTGGACATAGTTCGTGTGATAATAGAGATTGATTCTTATTCCTATAGCTTCGTGGGTAGATTTTTCAACAATTTTGGTGAAGGGCTTGAATGTTAAAACTTAATCGAAGAGTGGATCCCATATCAAGTTGCAAAAAGGTGAACCCATAAATTCGAGGCTTAAGCTGCAAAATTCTTCTTCATTTCTAGGTAATATGGAATTAAATTGGTTTCGATGAACTCGGGAGAAGGACCCAAAACTTTGTAGAAGAAATCGAAGGGAGATAGTGCCTAAAATACATGATAGGAGCAAAAACCATCTTGTCGAAATCTGGAAAACTATGGTAAGAATTACGGGTGTACATGGTCAGGGTTCGGTCGGGTTGGGAGATTTTTTTGACTCAACCCAAAAGTTCGAGTTGGTTGGATTAGTAACCCAACCCGACCAAAAAATTTTTACAACCCAACCCAACCCAACTCCCTATTTTCGGGTTGGGTTGGGGTTGGGTTCTCCAATTAATTTAAAGAAACTATATATATATAAAATAAAAATACCTTCAAAATTATATTAAATAACGTATCATAAATCATATTTTTAAATTAAAATAAAACTTAATAAAGTGTGATTTGTTAGTTTATTCTATTATAAACCATGTATTTAAAGATGGTATAAAATGAATAAATAGATATTTGTTAATTTATTTACTCTATAAATATGTTTAAAAACAAAATGAAATATTATAAATAGATATTTGTTAATTTATTTACCCTATAAATATGTTTAAAAATAAAATGAAATATTTTATGTTTAAAAACAAAATAAAATATTGAAGTTTCATTTTGAGATAATTTTTTATATTTAGAATAGAATTTTATAATATATAAACCGTAAATAAAATATAAGGATAGATGATGAAATTATAAAAAGACAAAAAAAAATAGTTTAAAATTATAAAATTAAAAAATAATATAAATGATTAATTTAAAGAAACTATATATATATATAATAAAATATACCTTCAAAATCATATTAAATAACCTAATGAAATTAAAAAAAGATAGAAAAGAATACACATGACAAAATGACAAAAAGAAAAGGTTAGAATAGATTATAAAATTAAAAAACAATATAAATGATTAATTTAAAGAAACTATATATATACATATAAAATAAAAATAAAAATATCTTTAAAATCATATTAAATAACCTGTATAAAATGAATAAATTGTTCTTTTATTCTATTATAAACAATGTATTTAAAAATAATATAAAATGAATAAATAGATATTTGTTAATTTATGAAATATTGAGGTAAAAAAAGAAACTATATATATAAAATAAAAATAAAAATACCTTCAAAATTATATTAAATAATTTGTATAAAATGAATAAATTGTTCGTTTATTCTATTACAAACCATGTATTTAAAAATAGTATAAAATAAATAAATAGATATTTGTTAATTTATGAAATATTGAGGTAAAAAAAACAAACAAAATAATAAAATGAATAAAAATAGTATAAAATGAATAAATAGATATTTGTTAATTTATGAAATATTGTGGTAAAAAAACAAACAAAATAATAAATAGATAAATTCGAGTCGAACCCAAGCACGGAATATTTTTAAAAACCCGAATTACTATTCTGACAAACCTTAACTTACGACTAAATTCTCAATGTTATTTATAAGTTTATTCGGTTTCGGGTCTAACCCGAGTTTTTTATCCTATGAACCGAAAACCGAACCGAGATACTCCGACTCCAGAAAAAACAATCCAGCCCAACCCAAAAGACTAATCCAACCCAACCCAACCCCTATAATTCGGGTTGGGTTGGTCCGGGTTGTCGGGTTAGATGTACACCCCTAGTAAGAATCATACTTCTCCCCGTTAAGACTGCACAATAACTCACACACTCAAACAGCAGGAGAGAGAAAAGGTGAAATATTGAATAGAGGTATATATTGATAACTTCAAGTACAACCACAAAGAATACCCAAAATATATAAAGTACATTTTCAAGCATCACCTAAATGGATATATATATATATAGATATAGATAGTTCAAATGGGTATATATATAGTTCAGTTTAATATATTTATGTTTACTAATATACCTCTATGCTAAATAAAATCTATCATATATAACTATTTACTATATTCTTTTTACTATATGAACATTTACTAGTAAGCTATAAATAAGCAGCAAGTTCATAACTCTATTAGATTCTTTGGGTAGACTGATGTGGTGATATAACTAAACCGGCCACCAATGGTACAATCAAATTGGTTTTGAACATCTTCACTATTTTAGCTTGTTTTGGACGGTTTTAAACTAGAATTTTAATTTGTTTTCACCCATTTTCTTATTTTGACTCAATTTATGACTTACTTGAGAAATTTGGTGACATTTGAAGTTCCTGTAACGAAAACTGAGCGCTTAAACACGTTTGATTATACATATGGTTATTTTAGTTTCTCTTTAAAAAATGCTTGTGGGAATCGACTTTGACTGATATGTTATTTTAGTTTCTCTTTAAAAAATGCATATGGTGGGTATCTAGCTTTGACTTTGATTGGATTAGAACTATTTATGCATGAACCGTCCGTTGTACCTAAAAAAATTGAACTAGTTTCTTATGATTCGAGTTATAAACTATATCATTATATTTATCTCGGACTATTCCAATTAGAACTAAAATGTGATGGAGTAAGTTAATAGTTAGAATGCCTTAAATGAGATCTAAGCTAGATACCCACCATGTATGGGAATCCAAGCTTAGCCTAGACTTTATTACGCATGGATTAGAACGGTGATCAGTATCACAAGAGTCAAGGTCACTTCCTTGTTATTGGCAATGTCGTGTGGGGACTATTAGGGGTAGCTAATAGTGAACATATATTGAGAATGGAGGTCTACACGTGTACCTAGGATGACTTAGATTGGTAACGCCGGGATAGTGCTTCATGTGTGTGGAAACAAACAAAGTTCTCCCAACAAGGCTCTTGGGTCGAAAACTTGTCCAATAAATGGATGAAGAACCACATGGGTACCTAATAGTTGGCATCATAGAATTTGACATGACGTTATTGCCTCATTCAGGGTTCGCCAACTAATCTCTTATAAATGAAAATTCGATAACGACTGACTTTTTTCCATAATGTCTCTAGCACGTCATTCAGATTGGAACCAAAACGAAGTTGCACCTCACAAAATAGAATAACAAGTCTCCGCTAGCTAGCCACTTAGTCTTAACTTTCGTTCTTGATGGAGCAATTTGGCAAACTTGGTGAGAGCTTCCTCATTGCTACCTTCTCCATCAACCGTCTCATATCTTCCTGTTTCTAAATTAACCCTTGACACGGGTTTCTTTAGTAACTCCTCCCCAATCTTCACAAGCTTTACTAAATTTTGTGGAGTCGCTATATCCATCGATGCGGTATCGCCAATCAACGAGTCATCCTGTTTAACAAACAATGCTCTCTTTTCTTAGAATAAGAAATCCATCATCAAACCGTTTTTGCTTAAAGTTTTTACATCCATCGTGTTAAATCACTAATCAACTAAAAAATTTAAGGCATTTTATAATAGAGTTACCTGAATACGAAGATAGTTTTGATGAAGATTTGGAGATCGGAAAAGGGTGGAAACGTGGTAATCAACCATATCAGAACTAGCGTCGGAGAAGAAGTCAATAATCGGGGTCGAACCATTTTGGTAAATCCAACTAAAGGCTCCCCATTTTGAGGCTTGTGTTGCATTGTACTTCTCTTCATGTTTAGGCAACCCTGTCCCTAAGGATAGAACAAGCATCCTTGTTGCATCATTTGGTTTGATCATTGAGTTTGCTATGTGGTTCATTTCAATCTCCCTGTTCATGTGGGTTATGGCTGCCATTGTCTGTCAAATTTCACACCACTTTTACATAAACAAGATAGCTAAATTTGGAAGCATGTCCATTCATATAAAATTGTGCATAGCAATTTGGACCCACGAAATCAAAGATTAAATTACAAATTTGGGACAAGAGGAGAATGTTTAGGTAAATCATAGAGCCGGATCTAAATGTTGGTTAGGTAAGGTTTCGTTCAACCTGGACGTCTCATAGCGGGAACTATAATCTAAAATGGAATTTTGTGTCCCGACCCTTTCTTAACACTAGATTTCCCACTTTGATACTATATTAAATTATCAATGAATTCAAAAGCTTTAACTGATATATTGTGATAAAAACTAAATGATATCAATACTTCAAACATTTAATCTTCGTGATTTCAAGTGTTTCAATTTGTCTATCTATGGTTTAGTCAAATTTGAAAGTCTAAATTGTAGAAACTAAATTGAAACTTATCAAATTAGACATTTACCAAGGATGAATGAGAATTTCTTCCTAAAATTTTACCATATGAGCTCGTATAATTAATGGGTTTGACTCTACCGAGCTAGTGATATCTTTTAACGGATTAACATCTAAGTTGTTTAAGTGTTATTTTCTTTTCACTAAGTTTGGTTGGTTGAATCACTTCTTACTCACTAACATTAGTGTCACTTGGATTTTCAGGTGCATAAACAATTGACCAAATGTATACCGTTTACTCTCCTGTCTTCTGTTGTAGAATTTTGTCAATATTGTTTGAGTACGGTAAAAGTTTCTTCTCATGAGGACCATCACGAAAATGCTTCATAAAAAACTACACCTCTCGAAGTGTAGCATCTTTCAGTTCGGATCACAACACTCTCCCCCTTGTCTTTGATTGTCATATCCAACAATTTATGTTTGATTGCTTTCTTATCAAACCTGATACATAGCAAATGCAGTCAAATACTGAGAAGTAGCTAATTGAAGGTTTCATGTCTCATAATGCTTCACTCCGAGATGACACCTAACTTTGACTAGAGAAGCTTGTTGATCACGTGGGCAGCAGTTCACATAACTTCCGCTCAAAGTTTTCATGAAACATTTTTTACGTTTTCATGGAACATTTTTTACGTGTAGCATGCTTCGATAAACCTCTGTAAGATGTTGACTTTTTCTCTCTGCTATACCATTTTGTTTTGACGTGTTGGCACATGTAAATTGATAACATATCGTGCACTTGTGTAGATATCAATCAAAATCCTTTGACATATATTTCCCACCATTGTCTAAAATCCTGAAATTTTGAGAATGTGTCAGACTTTTTTGCCATGAAAAAATCTGCACATATCTTGAATAGTTGTCAATGAACGTTACCATATCAGATTTATTATCAGACACAATCATTATATTGTCTGTTTGATCAATCGGCAACTGTGAATTGTTGGTTGTACATACCACACGACTTCCTTTGTACTATTTCTTGTCTTACAGTTTTCTTTGTTCGCAGTCATGTAGTTTGAGCATCCTAAATCAAGATCGAGCCATTTTCATAACCGATATGTTCTCCCATCATTGCCATTAACACTAAAGCATATGTTATTTTGTATCCCATTCATTCTTTATCTCCTTTTTTGAGGTTGTCATTGTTGGGTTTTATGTCCTAAAACTCATAGTTTGTAAACAAAGATATATTCTATTTTCAATAAAGTTATTATTGATGTTTATTCAGTAAAAATTGTTATTGAATAAAGTGAACTTTACGATCATTAATCTAAATCCAAATAAACTCCACAAGTTTGAGTGGAATTTTGAGTGTCAAAATTTGGTTAACTCAAACATGCATACTTGCCACATAATCCCAAACATTTGAGTGGAATTTTAAGTGTCAAAATTTGGTGATCTCAAGTTTGCATGAACATGCAAACTTGACTCTTTAAATAGAGTGATCATGATACTTGGAGGGGATTTTCTTCATCTTGATGAAAAACCTTGAGAAAAACTTCTCACAAACACTCTCTTTCACATATACAAAATCCCTCCCAAGTTTAGTCACTCACCGGATTCCACAATCCCGTTCTAAGGCCGGAGGATAGTGGAGAAGACACTAGTGGTGGTTCGAAACCGGTTCGTGAGGCAAAAGAAGTTTGAACTACAAAAGGTTAGTATTTAAACTCATTAAGTTTTAATACTTATAAACATGCTAGTAATTTACAATAATTGATGTTTTAAAAGTGCCTAAGATCCAAATTGCTTCCGCATGTGTTATAATAACACTAACAATTGGTATCAGAGCAAGTTTTAGGCACTTTATTTACATTAATTTGATCATGGTGGGTACCATTTCATGAATGAAATTTGTGGTTGCTAAAGTGGATGGTTTTGGTTTTGGCATTTTTTTATGCTTCCATTTGATACAATTATTGTAATAAGCCTAAGGTGTATGGGCTTTAATGAATCAAGAAAGGTCTGTAATTTTTATGGAGTCATTAGAGTCCATTTTAGGTTGTAATTGATCGAAAATGGAAGAGATAAGCAAGCTGAACCGAAGAAGATGGAAGAAGCGGTTCGGGTGTTTTTTCTGTCGTTGGGGACCGATTGAACATTTTTAAGGGTTGGTTTGTCCAGTTCGTGATCCTCGGGAGCGGCTCAAGTTATTTTTAATTATTAATGTAATAATTTAGTTAATTGCTTGTTTTAAAATGCCAAAACCAACCCACTTTAGTGTGTTTAATTAATTATGCATTATGAATGTATGTTTTAATTAAATAGAAAATGTATATGCATAAAGTATGCCATATAGATTTAAAATCCCACCATAGGCTAAGCATGTTTCATGCATTCCAAGTATGTTATAAGTGTTATAATGTATAGTATGCATGTCTTAGGGTTCCATGAGTGATTGATATAAATTGTTATATTATTGCATGGAATGGATGATTATATAAATTGTTATATAAAGCATGTTATAGGTTATTTTGAACGTCATAAAATGAGGTAGACGTTAAAATCTATAATAAAGATAAGTGCATGCTCACTAAGGGTTAAGAACCGAGCACGATCAATTTTAACAGTTAAAAAGGGTCGATGTCTTATAAAATTGCGGTTACGAGAAAGCTCATCTGGCACGATCTTGTTTAAGGCTGAAGGTACTTAAGTTGACGGTTTACGGAACACCCACTACCTGGAGATCGGACCAGTACTTGAGCTTAATTAGCCCAGTTTTATGAGCATGCTTAAGTGATGTAAGATTTAGAAAAATCACCTAGACTTAAGTTATATTTAATTAGCCGGAATATACTTAAGTAAAGAGTATACCCAACCATCTAAAATACTTAGTGGGAGGAAAAAGGTGTATAAGATACATCGTTTCCTCTTCATGCTCTCTGTAAAATTCACATAGTGAGATTCATGCTCGGCCTCGTGTCGCCCTGGGAGCGTCCTCCATTCGGAAGGTATTTGCATGAGTCAATAACAAGGTGAATTGAGAAAGTATTTATAGTAAGTGGGAGAAGGAAGTCAACACGTCCTATGGTCTCCACCACTAGGTTGCACCGTGAGATTCCCATGTTTTGCTTGCATGTTGCCCTAGAGCAACTACCCATTCAGAGGGTCGTAACATGGGAGTCGGAACAACGCAAACTCCAGAAATGGATAGGATTTCTTAAGTCCATTCCCAACTTTGGCTTTTTCATTCGATAGCGTTGTTGGGACCGATTTCTGAGGTCTGAAATTGGTGGGTCACACTTGCGAAGAATTACTAAGAGTTAGTATATTCTTGACTAAATTAGCGATAACTAAAACACTATAGGAACAAGAGTTATTCTGGAATTAGTGTTTAAGTCAAGAATGTCTTGGATTAGTGAATGAGTGATTGACTGCCCCTCGGTAGCAGTTGCTCTAACTCACTAAAGTATCGTTGCAAATTAATAATGATTTGGGTGCATTATTATATTTGCTAAAACTGATTGGATTAAACAGGATTAAGTCAAATCACTAATAGAATTTTCTTTATATCACAACATGACAAACTCAATAGTACAATTACTCGCTTCTGAGAAATTAAACGGCGACAACTACACAACTTGGAAATCAAACCTAAACACAATACTGGTCATTGATGATTTAAAGTTTGTTTTAACTAAAGAGTGTCCTCCAAACCCAAACTCAAATGCAAACCGAACAGCTCGGGATGCATATGACAGATGGATAAAGGCAAATGACAAAGCCCGAGTGTACATTCTAGCCAGCATATCTGATGTTTTGGCTAAGAAACACGATGTTATGGGTACTGCTAAAGAGATTATGGAATCTCTAAAAGGGATGTTTGGACAACCGTACTTCTCCCTTAGACATGAAGCCATAAAATACATTTACAACTGCCGTATGAAAGAAGGAACCTCAGTTAGAGAACATGTCCTGGACATGATGGTCCATTTCAATGTGGCAGAAGAAAATGAAGCTGTCATTGATGAGAAGAGTCAAGTCAGTTTTATCATGATGTCTCTTCCGAAGAGCTTCTTCCAGTTCCGCACCAATGTGGTTATGAACAAAATAGAATATAACTTGACTGCTCTTCTCAATGAGCTACAGACTTATCAGTCCCTCTTAACAAACAAGGGACAAACAGGAGAAGCAAATGTTGCCATCTCCAAGAAATTACTACGAGGATCGTCCTCCAAAAATAAGTCTGGACCTTCAACTTCTAAAGGTGTTTTGATGAAGAAGAAGGGAAAGGGGAAAAATAAGATTCCTACTAACCGCAAGAACAAGGTTCAAAAAGCAGATAAAGGAAAATGTTTCCATTGCAACGAAAACGGGCACTGGAAGAGAAATTGCCCAAAATACCTTGTAGAGAAGAAAGCCGAAAAGACACAACAAGGTAAATATGATTTACTCGTTGTAGAAATGTGTTTAGTAGAGTATGACAACTCAACTTGGATACTAGATTCAGGGGCGACTAATCATATTTGTTCTTTTTACCAGGAAACTAGCTCCTGGAGAATGCTTGCGGACGGCGAGATAACACTCAGGGTTGGAACAG